GCAGGTCCTTACGGCGCTCACTATAGCTTGCAATGTCATTGGAGGGAGGGCCATTGGTGTCTCCTGAGCAGTGGGAGCTATAGCTGTTTGTGGAGGCAGGAGCTTGTCTGTGTAAGTGGACACCCCAGTCAAATACACACATACATATTTTTACTTTTATTATGTGTATATTATGTGTATAGATTATTATGTGTATAGATAGATAGATTGGTTAACCAAGTGACCCTCAGTGTGCACAGTTTTTCCTTAACAACTTAACTACTTTACTCTGTTGCAGCAGAAGCACTAATCTTCTAGTGCCTCTAGATAACAAAATTCTTAAAAGATTAAGTAGAATGGTGCATAAATAGTTGGTGTGTATCTTAATGCCATTTCTGACTTACCATGACCTAAAGGGTTTTCTTGGCAGAATTTGTTGAGAGGGAAGTTAAGCATTTCCTCTTTCTGAGGCTGAGAGAGTATTACTTGCCTAACATTAACCAGTGGCTTTCCATGGACAAGCAAGGATTCAAACCCTCATCTCTCAGTGTACTAATACACTCAAACTATGCTGACTCTCTAAGCAACAGTATCCCTCCAGATATTTTTGGACTGCAGCTTCCATGATCCCTCACCATTGCTTACAGAAGTTGGAGATCATGAGAAACCTAGGCACAAACCACATTTGGAGAGCTACAGTTGGCTATCTCAGTTTTAGAGAGCTTTAGAATCCACTTCATGAGATGCCCAAAGATGCCAAGGGTTTCAGTGGAGGGAAATGTGCCCAAGAAATGTAAATAAATATGTTAGACAACTAAAGTTAAACTTTAAGTACATAAGAAGTGCCTATGTGTTTTGTTTGATTCAGAATTCCCCTAGTTCAGCATTCACAGAAAAGATGTTGCTGTCAATTGTTACACAATCTTGTCAAAAGTTGGCCAGCGATTCAAAGTATGACGTGGACACTATTGTTCTGACAGTTCCTTATATAGGAGAAACTATTCTGCATTCCAAATGCAAACCATCCTAAATGGCCCTATTAAGGTGCATGATCTGAATTTCCTTGTGCATAATTTATGTAAAATAAGTGTGCAAACTTCCTGATTATATATGCATGCACACTACGTGCTGGGCTTTCATGTTTGGCACTTCCCGGCATGAGGAATGTGGTGAATGCAGCTGCAAGATAGTACATGAGAGAACGCCTGCCCAGCTGGTCTGAGGTTGCTCGCTGTGCAACTTGCAGGAATCGGCACGCTGGAGCCTTGGTGTCTCCACCTGCCTTGCAAAGTTTGTGCCACTGCGCCGTGTCCTCCCTGTGTGCTCAGTTACGACACACGCACGCACCCCTTTGTGCCTGTAGCAAAGGAAGGCTGCTTGGTGTGCCGTGCAAGATGCAAACTGAACATCGAGGGGAGAGGAGAAATGCAGATTACGTGGTGGGAAGTGGTGGCAAGTGGAAGACGGCCTTATAGAACAGAACTGAAAGAGCTCCAACGTAGGGGTTATCAATAGCCTCCTTTCATGCACTCAGACACAGGCGCTGGAGCGGTTGCACAAGAACAAGCGATGAGTCACACCAAAGCAACTAGGAGGAGGCCTGGCTCTCTCAAAACCAATACTGTATTTTTCTTTTTTTGCTCTAGGACTCCCAGTCCATCAAGCTTCCTAGGATTCTTTAAGAGCTTTCCTCCTCTGCATTTTCCAAATTGGTGCTTTAAATAAAAGCACACTGAACATGCAATCCTGTGGCTGTCTGCTCAGAAGCAAGACTCTGAAGGGACATCTAGTGTCAATGAAATGTGGCATAGCATTGCAAACTGTAAACACTCTTGTACTTTGGCTTTGCAGGGAGGCATAAGGCATGCCAGTAGATAGTGCAGGGCTGGTATGGCCAAGCCTGCATTTAATTTGTTTGGAAATAATAATAATAATAATAATAATAATAATAATAATATAAAACTTTATTTATACCCTGCTACCATCTCCCCAAGGGACTTGGTGTGGCTTACATGAGGCCGAGCCCACAATACATCAGTAATAAAACAATAACAACAATAATACAAACAATAAAATAAAAACTCAAAACAAAAAATAAGCAATAAACATTTACAGTAACACAACGACGTTTAAAAGACCTATGGCTGGGCCAAATGTAATAATTAAAAAATTAAAAATAATGCTAAGGTACATGGTGGGTGCTCTCTTGCAATGTTTTGAGGCAGTCTTACACACAGGTGAACACCTTGTGCACTGAGGTGCAGACAAATGTGCATTGTTTCCTGAATCTCCTGATGCTTGTGTCTGTATTTGTGTCACTAGAGGGACTGAGTAAAAATGCATGTGGTTGGGCTTTTCACAGAGCTGAAAGTTTATTTCTTATCAAAAGCATTTCATAGATAAGTATAAAACTGATAGAGAGAGGGCCTTCTTGGTGGCTGCCCCTTGACTCTGGGAGTCCCTCCCAGGAAGGCTAGAATGGCCTCTTCCTTGCAGTCCTTCCTAAGGCAGGCTAAAGCCTTTTCATTCAACCAGCTTTAAAGAAGAATGGTTTTAAGAAGCGGGTGTGTGTGTGTGTGTGTGTGTGTGCGTGCTGAATAGTATTTTAATTACTTTAACTGTTTCTAAGTGTTTAAGTGAGTTTACTATTTATATGTTGTAGATTTTAAATTGCATTGTTTTTTAATGTTGTGAGTTGCTTTGCATCTCATCAAGATAAAAAAATATGATATAAAGAAATATAATAATAACAACTGAGAAATGGTGTAATCTCGTTCTTTCCAGGAAGCTCAGGCTGCATCAACTTCTTCATCAGTAACTTTTGACATCTTGATTATATATACCCAGGTTTCTATCTGTGAAATGCTGGAGGATGCAATACTTTGTACTATAACACTATGTAACAAAATTTGAAAAAAAAGCCTGTTCCTGGTTTAAAAATGTTATTTTCTTTTTAATTGTGCAATACTTGTATTGTTAAAGGCTTTCATGGCTGGACTCACTGGGTTGTTGTAGGTTTTTCGGGCTGTATGGCCATGTTCTAGAAGCATTCTCTCCTGATGTTTCGCCTGCATCTATGGCAGGCATTCTCAGGTTGTGAGGTCTGAGGTCAAAGTTTGCCCATGCCTGTTGTAGAGGAATCCTTTCTTCCTGATCTAGCAATTGCCTTAAAAGTTAATTTCTGTACCACTTCCTCAAGCTCCAGTGATTAAGACTGAGCTCCTAAAACTGTCACATAATTCTTATAACATGGAGAATTCCCTTTAAATGCAATCACCTCCAGGTCATCCAAACATCTGAGGTCATCAGCAACCCCTGTCACATAGGCTAGAAAATCTTGAATAGTCAGGTTGCATCTGATCAGCAAGTACTTTCTGTTTCGGGAAAAGATGTTGGCTTGCAGCAGATTGCTTGTGTTGTTTTTCAAGAGAGGAGAGCATTGCTTTCACAGTTGTTTCATAGAATCATAGTTGAAAGAGACCTCTTAGGCCATCCAGTCCAACCCCCTGCCAAGAAGCAGGAAAGTTGCAGATGGCCATCCAGCCTCTGTTTAAAAGCTTCCAAAGAAGGCGCCTCCACCACACTCCAGGGCAGAGAGTTCCACTGCTGAACAGCTCTCACAATCAGGAAGTTCTTCCTGATGTTCAGATGGAATCTCCTTGCCTGTAGTTGCCCAGCTCTTTAAGGTACTCCTCGTGGAGCTTGTTCTACAGACCCTTGATCATTTGAAGCCATTGTTCCACGTCCTAGTCTTCAGGGCAGCAGGAAACAAGCTTGCTCCCTCCTCCCTGTGAGTGTTTCCTTTTGGACATACCTGTAAATTCCATTGGGAAGTGAAGAAGCTGTAATGCACTGTCCTATGTTGCAAATTCAGCTTCTAGGAGCCCCCGGTTGTGCAATGGATTAAAATCTTGTGCCAGCAGGTCTCCTGACTGAAAGGTCCTGTCTGTCATCTCCAGCTTCTCATGTGGGGACATGAGAGGAGCCTCCCACCGGATGGTAAAACATCCAGGCTTCCCCTGGGCAACGTCCTTGCAGACGGCCAATTCTCTTGAACCAGAAGTGACTTGCAGTTTCTTAAGTTGCTCCTGACATGGAAAAAAACCCCAAATTTCAGCTTGGGTCTTGCAGAGGGACAGTAGCCACAAATGTTGGAGTTGAAGCTTTAGGTGGGAAATTATGACATTCTTTTCATTGTCTTTAGAAGGGTTTGCTCTGTGTTCTGGAAGTTGAAGCTCTAGGTGGGAAATTCTGACATTCTTTTTATTGACTTCAGAAAGATTTGCTCTGTGTTCTGGATTGTGTCCCAGGCCATGGCTTCCTTGTCATTGTCCTCCAGGCCTGGCGATGTGTTTTGGCTTCTTCCAGTGGCCTCCATAAGGGCCTGGAATATACATGATTTCCCGACTGAGACCATAAAAGCAAAGAGGCTGAAGCAAGTAAGAGAGAGAGTGTGTGTGTCAGTGCTATTCCGGGCAAAAGCCACTTTTCCAGTAAAGAGATGCGGGTGAGCAGCAGGGCAAGTGGACCCCGCTGCAGGCCAAGCCTTTGGGAAAGGAGGGAGGGAGGGAAGGAAAGAAGGGGGCAGAGTCTATCTCTCTTTCCTTCTCAGACACAAAGTTCAGAGAATGATTCTCCAAAAGAGTGTGTGTGTGTGTTGGGGGGAGGGGGGCAACTTTCATCTCCTAATATGGCAACAGGAAATGGGCAGGGCTTGGGTTTGCCTGAGCAGCAGGAGGCTGTTGTGCTGATGAAGTGGAAGAGCTGGTTTGGCTGGGGAAGGGAAGGCCAGCTTTGGGTTTCCTCCTCCTCCTCTTCTTCGGCGCAGGAGGAGGAGGCTGCTGTTGCTGCTGCTGCTCCCAGTTTGCTTTGCCTGCCTTCGTTGTGCAACCAATTCCTTCGCAGAAGAGGAGAAGAAGGCTGTTTCTGCAGGAGTTGCTACCGCCTTTCCCTCTTCCTCCTCCTCCTCCTCCGCAGCGAAGGCTTTCAGCTCCCAACCCCTCCTCCTCCTCGGGCCCCCTCCCTTTCCTGCTCCCCAAGCTGTGATCTCCAATCCGTGACTCAGAGACTTGCAATCCTGACACTCACTCACTGCAAGGGAGGAATCCACCGGAGCAGGAAGACCCAGAGAGAGCAAGGCTCTGGATCCCACCAGTTTGCAGGAGGCGAAGGAAAAGAAGGGGGGCGCCTTGCAAGCAAACTTCCTGAGTCGCTTTTGGGGTGGATTTTTCCTTGTGGAAACTTAAGCAAAGCGGGGCACTGGAGCCCAGGATATGAAGCCGAGGCTTGTTTACCTTCGGCGCCTGCGGAAAGGGAGGTAAGTTTGTGGCAAGGGATCGGAAGGACGGGGTTGTTTTGCAACGAGGAGTTTTCCGGGAAGAGTCCAAAGGAGGGGGTGGGGGGGGGAGAAGAGTCCACTCGGGTCGTGGGTATGGGAGAACTTTCCCCTCCCTTGGCCTCCTGTCTGCAGAAGGCGTCGCGTCGGTTGCGGGAAGCTACGCACTTGGTGGCTGCGGAAAGGAGGCGTCTTTCCTCCCTCTTTTCCTTCTCAACCGGGAAGTAAGCCGAAGACAGAGCCTGGGGTTGAGTCTCTGGGGTTGACCCACGGCTTGGGCCAAGAAATGGGCCAAGAGGCAGAACTGGGACAGAGAAAGAGAGAAAGAAGTCCGATCGTTGTATTGTCGAAGGCTTTCATGGCTGGGATCACTGGGTTATTGTAAGTTTTCGGGCTATATGGCTATGTTCTAGAGGCATTCTCTCCTGACGTTTCGCCTGCATCTATGGCAAGCATTCGGAGGATGCTTGCCATAGATGCAGGCGAAACGTCAGGAGAGAATGCTTCTAGAACATGGCCATATAGCCCGAAAAACCTACAACAACGCAGTCCGGTCGTTGCTTTGGGTTGTCAGGTGACAGCTCTTCTGACCTTTGCAATCTTGCCATTTTCCAACTTCTGGGTTTCTCAATCCCTCTCATACACACATATTTCCAATCCATTATGCCTTTCTGTCCCATTCCTGATCAATAGCAGAGTGTCTGAGGGCAGGGGAAAGCCAGGAAACACTTCCTCCCTGCCCCAAGGCAGGAAACTTCCCCTGCTCTTTGCCTACTCTTCCTCCTGCATCTGAAGATTTGCAGAATGGATGCAGTTTGACCCCAGTTTTCTTTTTATATACCATGCAATAGGTCTCTGGGATGTGGAGTTTGACATGTAGGGGTTATTTATTTATTTTTCGTGTCAGGAGCGAACCAAACAGATGTATTGCATTAAAAACAAGCAAAACACAAAGTTTTCAGACTTGGTATTCTATTAAATGTCCTCTGACCAGTAGCTGACCACTTGGAGTGCCTCTGGCATGTAGGGGTGCAGCCCTTGTAAAACTACAACTCTTACGGTTCCCTAGCAGTTAAAGTGGTGTCAGACTGCATTTGATTTCTCTGGAAGTTTTAAGCAGAGGCTGGATGACCCTCTGCCAGGGGTGCTTTGATTGTGCACTCCTGCATAGCAGGTTGGGGTTGGACTGGATGACCTTTGGGGTTACTTTTAATTTTATGAGTCTGCAAACTTCATTTGTAGACAGCCCTATCTCCCAGAAGGGATTCAGTGTGGTTTCCAACATGTAGAGCAGGCCTGGGCAAACTTTGGCCATCCTGTATTGTCGAAGGCTTTCATGGCCAGACTCACTGGGTTGTTGTAGGTTTTTTGGGCTGTATGGCCATGTTCTAGAAGTATTCTCTCCTTACATTTCACCTGCATCTATGGCAAGCATCCTCAGAGGTTGTGAGGTCATCCTTCCAGTTATTTTGGTCATCTTTCCAGGTGTTTTGGACTTCAACTCTCAGCATTCCTGACAGCCTCAGGCCCTTTCCTTAAGCGGCTGAGGGGGAAAAGGAAAGGGCCTGAGGCTGTCAGGAATGCTGGGAGTTGAAGTCCAAAACACCTGGAGGGCTGAAGTTTGCCCATGCACTTGCTTTCGTGCAGACATGTGCGGCAAACCTGTCGATTGTGTTTCCTCCTCAGAGCGCGCAGACTCACTTGTGTTTTCCAGACTGTCACAGGGATGAGGTCGCTTTTGGAAAGCTCAGGTGACCTTCCAGATCTCGGAAAAGCCTGATCTCATTTGTGCTCCGGTGCTGTGGCAGATTGCAGAAGTGGCAGTGATGTTGAAAGATATGCGTAACCACACACTCAGCGCGCCTTGCTCAGGGTGGATGGCCTCCTTGGAGCTGGTGACATCATCCGCTGCTCTGGTTCCAGGGGAAATCAATGACAGCTTTGCTATTAACCCGAAGAGTATAAGTGCTCTTTGCACATGACAGTGTGGCACGCTATCGGCATACACAACATGGTACTGAGATTGGCAGCTTCCAATAGAACTCTACCTGGTCATTGGCATTGAATGTTTGCCATATATGTTGGAAGCCGATAGGGTAGTCTACAAAGAAAGTTTTGTTGTTGTTGTTGTTGTTGTTGTTGTTGAGTCATAGAACTGGAAGTGACCCCAAAGGCCATCCAGTCCAACCCTGATCTGCCATGCAGGAACACACAATCAAAGCACCACTGACAGATGGCCATCCAGCATGTTTAAAACAGCGTTTCTTAACCTGGGGGTCATGAGGGGGTTTCAGAGGGGTTGCCAAAGACCCCCAGAAAACGCATTTTTCTGATGGTCGTAGGAACCCCTTTGGCAGAGAAGACTGACAATCTCTCCGCCTGTCCTCTTCCTTTTTGGAAACAAACAGCAAATCCTCCCACCAAATGCCACCCTCTGGTGTGATTGGCCAGTCTCTCAGCCAAGGGGAGGGCTGTTTCTGAGGCTCCAAGTGGGGAGGGGAGAGCAGGCGTCCTTGGTACATGGCAGTGTGGTGTGAAAGTGCAGGCGAGGGGGAACATGTGAGTCTGGAGGGAGGCTCACACCAGCGAGTCCCTTCAAGGCATGGGGGTTCTGTGTGGGAAGTTTGGCCTTATTCTATTGTTTGTGGGGTTCAGAATGCTCTTTGATTGCAGGTGAACTATAAATCCCAGCAACTACCACTCCCAAATGTCAAGGTGTATTTTCTCTAAACTCCACCAGTTTCCACATTTGGGAATATTGAGTATTCGTGCCAAGTTTGGTCCAGATCCACCATTGCTTGAGTCCACAGTACTCTCTGTAGGTGAACTACAACTCCAAAATTCACGGACAATGCCCACCAAACTCTTCCAGTATTTTCTCTTGGTCATGGGAGTTCTGTGTGCCAAGTTTGGCTCAATTCTAACATTGGTTGAGTTCTGAATGCTCTTTGAAGGTTGGTGAACTATAAATCCCACCAACGACAACCAATGACAAAATCCTACCAATGACAAAATCAATCCCCAATCCCACCAGTATTCAAATTTGGGTGTATTGGGTATTTGTGCCAAATTTGGTCCAGTGAGTGCAAATACACCCTTTATATCAGATATTTACGTTACAATTCATAACAGTAGCAAAATCCCAGTTATGAAGTAGCAACGAAAATAATTTTATGGTTGGGGGTCACCACAACGTGAGGAACTGTATTAAATGGTCGCGGCATTCGGCAGGTTGGGAAATAATGGCTTAAAACTACCAGAGAAGGAAAGAGCACCAGACTCCTATGCATCATATTCCTTTGGTGATCTGATATTGAGGCAATCAGAATTGCTTGAATGACAGGAGAATTAGTAATCCGTTGTGTTCATTACTGACTCTCTGATAGGTGCATTTAATTTATGGTCTTTGCAGGGGGAGGGGGGAAGGAATGAATTTCACATGGTAGATCTACATATGCAGCTTGACACCACTTGAACTCCCATAGTTCAGTGTTATGGGATCACGGGAGTTGTGATTTTACAAGGTCTGTAGCCTTCTCTGCCTAAGAGTGCTGGTGCTATGCTAAACTACAACTCTGCAGGCTGAGAAGGGCGGTATACACATACAGTAAATAAATAAATAGCATTGAACCATGGCAATAAATATGCATTAATACTATAATAAAGGGAGCCTGCTATCCATCCCATGCATATTAACTCAGAAGTAAGCTGCACTGAATGCATGAAGGACTCTTCCTGGTGCACATGGCTCTTGCAAGAGACTTCGTATTTAAGGTTGTATTTGAACGATAATGGATGAGAAAAGTAATTTGCCTTCCTCCTGCAAGTAGGCAAATTTACCAACTTCTCTGCCAACGGATTACTGTGAGTTTTCCGGGCTGTATGGCCATGTTCCAGAAGCATTCTCTCCTGATATTTTGCCCACATAACATGGCCATACAGGCCGGAAAACTCACAGCAACCCAGTGATTCCAGCAAAGAAAGCCTTCGACAACACATTCCCTGCCAATGTTGGCTCTTCCCTTTAAGAACAGTTCCCTGTTTCCTGGTTAGAGGGATGTTTGACCAGGTCATGTTCCCTTTTTCATGTATGGATAACTTTTGTGTTGTTCTGGCTTTGAGAACATCCACTGGGTTGAATTGATGCTGGTTTACTCAAAGCAGCAGGAAGAAAGATACGCGGAAACTGAGCATAGTTTCTCTTCCTCTGTGATATATTGAGAAATCTGTGGCGCTGTTGAAATTCAACTTGTATTTAAGTTCGTACAAAAATGCAAAAGAATTCCTGAACTTTTATGTCACTTCCTAAAACAGCAAAGAAAACATCTATTGCTACCACCAAATGGTTTGGGCTGCAATTTACCCATAGATGTTCACACCCAGGTAACCTCCTGAAGATACTCTTTCAGTGCACTCTGCATGGGGCTGCACTTGAACATGTCCTCAAATACAACTATGGTATTTGATAGTTTCATGGAATTCAGTCATAGCTGCCATTCCCAGTAATTTGTGGTACAGCTGGGAATTTATCCCACGTGTTTTTGAAGGCTTTCATGGCCAGATTTACTTGGTTGCTGTGAGTTTTCCAGGCTGTATGGCCATGTTCCAGAAGGATTCTCTCCTGAGGTGCCACCCACATATATGGCAGGCATCCTCAGAGGTTGCGAGGTTTGTTGGAAACTAGGCAAGTGGGGTTTATATATCTCTGGAATGTCAAGGGAGGGAGAAAGAACTCTTGTCTGCTTGAAGCAAGTGTGAATGTTGCAATTGGCAGGCTTGATTAGCACTGAATAGCCTTGCAGCTTCAAAGCCAGGCTGCTTCCTACTTGGGGGAATCCTTTGTTCAGAGGTGTTAGCTGGCCCTGATTGTTTCCTGTCTGGAATTTCTGTTTTCTGAGTGTTCTTTATTTACTGTCTTGATTTTTGATTTTTTAAAAAATACTGGTAGTCAGATTTTTTTTTCATTTTCATGGTTTCCTCCT